GTGAACGATCCATCTCCACTTCCCTCAGCATATTAATTGGGCAATGGGTTCTTGGTTGGTTCGTTCCCAGAGTTTTTTGTTGCCAATTATTTCTAGCCATCTGATCTTCACTCTCGAGCCAGCGAACGTAGTTAGTGATGAAAATCTGCAATAGCTTGTTGGAAATGCTTTTGGTGATTGGCATGCCAAGTCCCGAACCATATTATACCACTAAATGACTTGATATTTATGTTGAATGTTGTCCTGATCTTATTCCTTATGCTGGTTGCAGTAGATTTCCACACTGACTTCACAATGATGGTCTGTCTTGCTTTTCTAACTCTAACTTTGATATCCCTATCCGTGCTGCTACCTGTATTTGAAACGATGCTACATCCTACAATCCCCACAAACTCCTGCAAATCAACACTCGTGTCTTTATTTCAGTGAATATATATTACTAACTGAACTATATCAATTGAACGGTTGTTAATACTATTAGTAATCAAATTTATATGGCATTAAACTGAAAATTTCCAACTACTAAACGACTTCGCAGTCAAGGTCATGAAGAGATGATGGCTGTATAATTTGAAATATTCACTTCACATGGAAGTTAGAAGTGGAGATATTCTCTGGAAGAATAGTGAAAGCTACATAATTAAACCATCCTGCTCAGAGAACAGAACAACACCAAAGAATGGATTCCATTGTCTTTTTCATTACGATAATCTAACTTCTAAAATGATGAATTTCGTTTTTCTGATTAAGAAGTTCAATGGTGTAGCAGATCTAAATCAGAACCATGAAGCTAAATGATTTTGAGAACACTTGAATATTAAATATTTTAGAGAACATTTTATTTTTCCACTCAACATGATTGAAGCTACCAGGAAATATGAGTCTAAGAGAAATCAGATGTCATCGTGTTTTCAAAATCACCATTTGTCTGATTACACACAATATACTGTTATTTGATGGATAATGATTGACAATGGAATCCAGGAGCCTGACTCATCCTATCTAAGACTAGTCAAGTTTATGTACCTGCATTCCCCTGAGTGATAGTGTTTCCAACAGATTTGTGTCTCACTAGAGTCACCATGATTTAATTGACGGCAAGTTACACTCATGGTCTGAGGACACCATTGGGTGATATCATGCGCCAGGCCGTCGCTCGAGTGGAAACCAACTGAGAAACGATCAGTTGGGCGTGACTGAGAGAGTGACGTGGAGGAGAGCGTGTGAGAAGGGGATGAGAGACTATGAGCGATCTTGAGCCCAGCTAAAGAGGACTGAAGAGAATAGGATGAAGCAGAGGTGTACTGTTGAAGCCCAAGGGAACAATAATAATACATTCTCATGGTATCGTAATACCTTCATTACTGGGAGGAGGCATGTTAACAGAGATCAAGTATTTCAGACTAACGATATCAGTCAACAATGTAAAACTAAGTATTCCACCCAGCTGTTGTGGAAGCAGATTTCTACATTTAATGGACGACCTAGCTGAAATAAAATAGCTGGTGGAAACGCTCATTAAATGATCTTAGTAATATTTCAGTTGTGGGATGCTCAGCTCCATGGTTTACGCTGTTCTTCCACAGAGATCTTCTAGTCAGATTCTTTTGTCTCCTGACAATATTAAGTCTATTGCTGTCTTGCCATAAAGGGTATCATTAGAATTTCTTTAAGTCACTGATAAACTTTACGGCCAATCATCTACATATTCTCTCCAGTAATTAGTGATAAAAAATTTGTTTTGAGTAATAGTGTTTATTGGATGAAGGATTTCATCATAAGCTAACATCAGTTAGAGAACCATTGAAAAACCTGGAAGTATTGGAAAGCTGTTTCGTCGACCACTGTCTACGAGCTCGCCTTGTAACCATTAAGTGCTGGGTTCGAACCCAGGGGGTGTGCGCTGATGAAGAGTCCCAAACTAGGACGAAATAGCTGTCCAGTACTCCCAGGTTTTCCAATGGTTCTCTAATTTATGTCAGCTCATGATGAAATCTTTCAACCAATCAAACAAAATCCCTATGAAACCAATGTTTGAATATTAGTGTTTATATTTTTCTGTACGTTGAAGTTTCTACAGCGACTGGGCTGGTTTCCCGGGGTAGAGTCGTTAGCCCCACACTCAACCTCCCCTCTTCTTCCGGGCTTAGGACCGGCTAGTAAACTAGATGCCAATCAATATCAACAGGAGAAATTTCAAGGAGGTTATCACTTTCACTTATCTATTCATCATCGTTTCAACTGCAGGCAGTAGGGATGAAGGTATCACAGACAAGATTGGAAAGGTAAAACAGACCTTCATTACTCCAAGATCAGTGTGGAAATCTATTGCACTTGGTATAAAGGACCGGATTCAGATTTTTGACGTTAATGTCAAGTCAGTGCTGTTATATGGTGCAGAGACTTTGCATGTCAATCATCAAAAGCACTTCGAACAGGCTTCAGACTTTTTTAACCAACAACTACCTTCACTCCATACTGAAGGTCAGATGGCCAGAAAGGATTGGCAACAAAAAACTCTGGCAACGAGCTAACCAATTACCCATAGCCCAACAAATGTGCCGCAGAAAATGAAGATGGATAGGAAACATACTGAAGAGGCTGTTGAATGAGTGATGCCACACACAAGCACTCAAGTGGACCTGGAAATGGAAATTACGAGTTGGTATTTGAGGGTGACAATGGAAAAGGTTGTGTTAGTTATGGACATTCGTGTAGCCAACTGCAGAGAACAGGATGAAATGGTGATATGCTGCTGAATCCCTGTGTTCCACTCGGAACCTAAGGGAATAATAATAATGAACGTTTAGATCATCTACGCTAAGTATCAAACATTTGAATCCGATAAATCACTGGGCTAGTAGTCTGGAGAATAGTTATTTATTTCACCTTTAATCATCGCCCGCTGCATCAACGAAAGTCTTATATTGCAAGCAATCGTCATGCGCAATGAGCATTGTTATCAATCTGCTTAAAATTGCTGGCACGGCCGGTTAACTACCTAGAAGAAAGTCATATTAGCTTACTGATGCTAACTGGTCTTACCCACTAACCTAATCTAAGAAACTAATGTTGTAATGTTCTGGTCAGTTTTTGATCCTGGCTGTTCATTTGTTGGTTTATTTTAGTAATTTCCGAAATTATCGTCCTAATTTCAATCGTTTGGAGTTCTGATAAACTGTTTTGTGCTTGTCCTTAAATCAAGTTTTAGTTCAGCTATACATTGATAATTTTCCATGACGGTTGTCTTAAACTACAAATTTTTGTTCTCTTTTAATTGTTTGGTCCATGGAGGGGGAAATTCATTACCTAGATGTGCCTGCATTCACCGAGTGTGATGACGTGGCTGCTAAGACTCGAATCAAGGAACTAGTGACTTCAAACACCAAAGCGTTATCTAGTAGGCCATGGAAACTGGTTCATATGCAACGGGTATGATTTGAAATAGTTTGTTCATACTTGCGACTACCCGTTAGCATATCTGGTCCTTTCTAGACTGCGGGGTCTGTGGGGATTTGGATTAATTTCAGTTGTTAGATTTTGTCACTAACCTACATGATTTGGAGAGACCAGTGAAAACGATGGGACACTGGACAAACACTTTTCCTAGTTTGGGACTCTTCAGCAGTCCACACGCACAACTTTATAAGGGCCGAACCCGGAACCTTTAGGTTAAGAGACCAAACACGTTGACTATTCAGTCACTTAGGCCGAAATTTAGTGATACGCGATCTCTCACTTGGTCAGTTTGTGACATAACGCTAGACCCAAACCACCGCCTTCGATGAGCATTCACACACTTTGATATGCTGCACTCCGCTGGCCACGACTTCTCACCACATCCAAAAGGCATCAGTAAGCCGACGACTGATATTTACGTTTTAGGATTTATGGGAATTTGGATTAATTCCGATTGCTATCTGAGTATCTGGTTGTCGTTAGCCATTGGTAATATCGAGACCACCGTTCAACTAGCTCATATACCAAAATAAGACAGATCTATGGTTCGTTTTATGTTTGAATTACCTAATGAGTAAAATTACCTGTTAGTGGTTATTCGATGTAATAAGTGAAGAACACAGTTAATTCCACCCCTTTCATTTCACTATTTACTATTTTAAACAGTTATCATTGTTATTAATATTTCCAACGAGATCAGTGATATTTCAAAAATAAGAGAATTCATTATTTTTTCTATCAAAAAGCATTCATAACCCCTCTCATCAAATGTGTGTATGTGTGGCTGATTGCAAAATAACATCATCTGGAATCATCGCACCTACCACGTAGTTTATCATTTATCTAATTGCTAATTGGTTAACGCGATAAACTAACTCATCGACCAATAAAAATAATAATCGCTTCTAACAATAGAAACACAAAGATAAGCTGTTATACACACTTAATAGATATATGTATATATACGCGGATGTGCATAAGTATGTCTATGCTTATTATGATATAGGCATGCTTGTGTGTGTGCACGTTTGTTATTTAATGCAGAAAGGATATTTGATAACTGTTTTAGTCAAATAATATGTATTAAATCAGGAGAGAGAGAAAAAAATAGGACGGACACGTATGTTGTTTATCTTAACTGACTAACTATCCGTTGTGTTCTCTCTTTGTTATTCATTGATACTGACAAATAAAATAAATGTATATATGCACATTATTTGGATAATAACTTTTAATCCCCTTCTCTAATCACATATTTGTCTCGTTGAATATATAATATATACACTGTTCATATAAATTCTGTCCAGCATTCTTCAGTCTCATTGTGATAACATAACTACATGATAACAACAAGTGTATATTTATATCCCTGAAGAAATTATTAATTGAAGGTTATTTAAACGTACATCTAACCGTCGGTAGTTTTCATTGTCCTGCATTGTCTACGTTATACTCAATTTATCTATTACCGTGTTAACAATAACGATTTTCCACTGGATAAAACTCTTTTTAAAAAACTTGATTATTTGATTATATCATCTATGGATGCTTTAATTGAAGACTCCTCAAATCCGCGGATAATTCCTACCACAACCCATACTAACCATGATAACATTAATAACAATAACATTAATGGTAATAATCATATTGTGCCATCACAGCAATCTCCGATAATCAATGAAATTACACCAAGCGTGCCTATTACTCTCCCTTCACTTATTCCCAAACATGATGACAGCGATGAACACAGTAAAACTTTAATTCATGTATTACGTTGTAGACATTGTAGCTTTGAGTCCATTTTAAGATCACGTTTTGATAAACATTTGCCATGTTCACAAGAAATGGACAATTATCAATTGTATACATGTTCAATATGTTCAACATGTTCAACATCACAACTAATCATGGATGAACACAGGAAAGTACATCATCCGAATGAGAGTAAAGTGAGTTCTTGTCTTTCTTTTATTCTATAATTTTCATATATATATCTTTAATAACAAAACACTTATTGATATTAGTAACATCAATGTTTTAAATTATATCGAATCCATAATATCAATCGATTACAGTTCAAAAGTATCTGTCAGTAATAATATACTCAGAAATGTTATATTAAACTGAATATCAGATAAATTAAGAAAAATAATGCAGAATTTGTGAATTTATAGGTTCCACAGAAGGTCAGGGTAGCAATATCAACTGGACCTGTTTCTTTTGCACATAGAACACTGACTGTTTTAAGTGAATTGCAATGAACTCTACTGTTTGGAGAGTTTGGTATCTAGGTGGCTTCGGTAATTTATTCGATACGCGATAGATGGTAGAGAAAGATTCATCAGTGTTAGCTCTGTGGCCTGTTTGGACCAGATGGTCGAATGTTAAACTACAGATAGTCATTTTTAATAATCAAGTACTTCTGAAGAAATATGGAGTTCTTTTTATGTGGGATTTATGGAGCCCTAATTAAACGTGAACATAGTAAATATTGTCGAATAGTTCCAAACTAATATATAAAGTAAGCATGTCATTGCAATTTGGTTGAGATTCCACACAGTCCTACTACTTCCTCATGTACACACTTGAATATAGTTGAATTTTTATTCGCTATAGAATGGTCTGTACATGCCTAGGCTAGCCCATCTTTGAGCTCATATCATTCATTGGTAAATACTTGAAAATCAAACTGAACATGTTTGTCAATCAGTGATATTTATGCATTTCAGTTTGTTAGAATAAGCAGATACGTGTACTTTATTAGGTGACAGCTGCTTACATTTTATATATCTTGTTATGAAGGATTGATAACGTGATGAGCGGACAAAGTTTATATGACTTTTCGTTTGTACATTTAGACTGCTCTGTCACTTCTGAAAGGAAAAAAGAACTGAGGAAAATTTAGTGGAATGTCTCAATCGATAGTAATTTTTTCATCCCTTTGCATTCAGAATAGAGCATAGGGCTTCGAACTCAAGCTTTGAAATTTCAGAAGCGGTGTTTTTGTCTACGAAGTAGGGTTTTCAACCTTAAACCCAACCTTCCCTATTTACCTGGTGACTTACTATAGGCTAAATGAGGTGGACGAGTGTATCGGTAGGGAGTCGAACGCAGATGACGCATGTGGTCGGCGAGCATTCTACCATTGAACCACAACCGATAGTAATAAAGCCTCATATTCGGATGTTGCTTATACATACAGACACAGACGGACAAATATTTTACTGATTACTGTAGTATGATACACGAAACTCAAAGTATCACCAATCCATGAGCGAGAATAAAAACACTGAACACTACTAAAACCGAATGTCCTCTTCAGTATGGTCATGATTGTTGTAGTAGTACTCGTTGTAGTAAACTCTTCCAGCTAATTACCAATACTATAATTATGACATAAAAGAAACTCTGAAGTATTCCTGGTATACTTGCTATACTCTCAAAAGTATTTGAGAAATTTAAATGTGAAATGGAGAAGAAATGATGTGCTTCTGTACACACATACGCACACTGTTGTATTCATGTCAGCACATACAACTGCTTACTTGTATCGAATTTTGAATATTAGGCTCATTTTATTCAAAAATAAATATTGTTTATTTCGATATGGTGATATTTAATTCTTTGGTACAGTACTGTACTATTGAACATAAGTAGTATGTCAATCATTCTCTAGGTGATATTTTTTATTTAAAAATTATTTTCACTCTGTATTAGATTTATATGTAAATGGTTGTGTGTGTTTATGTGATTGACACAGAAGTGAGTAAATCTACCCTCAAGTGAGTTGATAATAATAAATACCCAATGGAAGTAGACTGTACAGACATTATAAGAAGGAATGTCACAGTTAACAGTTTTAAAATACAAAAATAGAGAGAAAAAGCACAATAACACTTCCTTCCACAAAGTAAGGGTTTAAACACGAAAAATCAGCAGTGTTTCAGTAACTTAGCCTACTGGTCTTCTAATTAATTAGTTCATTCATTCATTATTGTAGGGTATAGGCGATAAATTGTGAAGTGATTTGTGGTATCTTAATCCGCACCTTTATAGTTACCTCTTCCAATGGATTTGTTACGAGTGATTTCCTTTCAGTCATAATATTCTTCTTATGTATGACAAGTTGTGCGTTGGTGGTTTAATGGTAGAATGCTCACTAGCCGGGTTCGACTCCCATCCGAAACGCTCCCAAACCTCCTCTTGCTTACCAACAGGTAATAATTCCGAAGAAGAGGGAAGATGGGTTGTCAGGCTAGCAACGCCACCTTGTCAAAAAGAAATCACTGCTACTGAAACCTCAGTGTTGAAGTTTGAAGTTCGGTGTTCTTTTCAGAACACAAAGAATGAAGAAAAGAAATCCAATTTTTTTAATTTTTTGATTATAGTTTGATTCCACACCGTATTTTTGGTACAAGTATGGAATTTTCAGCATATGATATAGGTAGCCCAAATTTAGCAGGCCGACCATTGCTATCAGGTGTACGTCGGCAGGGCATCGAACCCCGGACCATTTGCATGGTCGGCGAGTGTCATAACCGCTGTGCTACCAAAGCAAATTCAAACGTACTTGCCATTTTCATATAAAGAAATGAGTACATTAATTTGGGACTAATCAACTGAATAGGCTTTTTTTCTTTCAGTAATAATGAAGTTACTATTTACTGAATGGGTTCACTAGTCCTTCCTCGACTTTGACTCTTTTCCGGGTTTAGAATAGGCTAATAAACTAGATGAGGCTGAGTATGTGTTTTTGCCTGGGCTCGAACTACGCATCTGCTCTGTAACAAACAAAAATATAATTAACAAAATCACTCAGTGTAGATGATGTGGACGATAGTTTGGTATGAAGTACCTTTCAATCAAGAGTTTAACTTATTGGTTACTTCATGTTAATTGCACTGAAAGAATTACTTGTCAGTTTCATTAAGACATTTTTCTTAATGCTGTGAAACGAGAATAATGGTAATTATGTCTGCATTTTTAGGTAAAATCTAAGTCATCAAAATGTATTGAAGGTATCAGCAAACAGAATAAGAAACAGTACTGCACTCAGCTTATGCAATAATCACTAGCATTTTTAAAGTTAATTCTATATAAAGTTAAAATTCACTGGCCACCGAATTTCATCTCATTGGCTGAGTAGTTGACGGGGTCGCCTGGTAACTCGAAGATCCTGAGTTGAACTTCATAATGGGGTCATGTGTGTTTACCTTTGAGGAGTTTTTTGACTACATGGGAAGGAGCTGTCCAGTATAATTCTCTGACTGATATCAGTAAGTAACAAAACGGAAACTTGAGATAAACAATTTCTCACCGTACAGTGTACAAGTTTAATGTTTTATAATGGATGACATATATATATATACATCGGTTAGAGAACCACTGGAAAAGCTGCGAGTACTAGACAGCTGTTTCGTCCTAGCTTGGGACTCTTCATCAGTAGGCTGGTTCTCTAAACGATATCAGCTCATGACGAAATCCTGTAAACAAATCCCTGCAAACCAACACTTGAATATATATATATATATATATATGGGCAAATGTTTACCATTCATGTTACACCTTATATCTTTTATCTGTGATCTATTTTACACTTACTGGGTACATCTTGAGAAAGATAACGAACGAGTAAATGTTTACAAAACTTTACATTTTGAAATCCGGTCATAGATATTACTATTATTATTGTTATAATCAATTGTTTTTACGTGTTGACCTTCGCTACAGTGACTATTAGGTATAATATTTCTTTATTAAACTCACAACATAAAATCAGCTTTTAGTATGAACTTTTATATGAATGAAAGTAACTTAAGTATTTTATTTCAATCAAATACGACTGTTAGTTTACACTGGTAACTGATCTTTCTTAAGCTCACTAGATGAATGATCTGTCCAGCTCTCTTTGCTCTCCACTAGCTTTATCGTTCAGTGTCAGCTTATGAAAACAAGATGAGGATGATTTTTGGGGGCTTCCATGAGGAACATGTTATTACTACACAGCCATCATCAGTTGATTTCCTTCGTTCGAGTCCCGTTAATTCATGAGACGTCTCATTATTATTGTTATTACTATTATTATTGTTATTATTATTATTGTCACTCAGATATTTTAATAAACAAATATCTCCAAAATTAAAACTAAGAGAAACGTTGAAATTAAATTTAATTGAAATAAATACTGGCTAAGCAAAATAAATAAATCTTCTACAAATCTCATTATCATTTATCCAAACATCAGATTGTTGACTAAGATATTCATATAACAACGTAGTGGATGCTGAACACTGTTACTACTACTATTACCAGTGAAGGTTATGTAGGGCTAGCCAAGAGTATGTCCATTGCGTGTTCATACTCACCGTCTTACCTAAATTTATGTGAATATCAGGTGATCATTTTAGTTTGTGAACTATTAAGCCACATAACAAAGATTAAGTAATGCTGATCTGACTAATGAGCACTACAGCTTACAGCCAATCTTATTTTTTTTATTCCTTCACGTTCCCAGTGGAACATAGGGCTTCAAGCTAGAGACCTGAAGTTTCTGTAGCAGTGTTTATTTTAACAGGATGAGGTTGCTAGGCTCATGCCCAACCTTCCCTCTTTACCAACTTATATTGCCGGCTTAGCGAGGTAAAGGAGTGCGTCGGCCGGGGATCGAACCCCGGATCATGTGCATGGTCGGCGAACGCCCTAACCGCTGTGCCACCGACGCAGCCAATCTTATTGGTTGAGATTATTATTCTGAGTGACTGAACTTGTTTCTTTTGCACACAGAGCTTTGATTGATTTGGGGGAATTGCAATGGCCTCTTCTGTTTGGAGTATTCGATACCTAGAGGCCTTTGGTAATTTATTCGATACCCGATAGATGATGGAAGAGGACTGTTCAGTGCCAGCTTTGTGGTCTGTTTGGAATAGGGGATCCAATGTAGAAATGTTGG